GAGGTTCACACTTTAGCCAAAGATTAGACGTGCCCATAAAACAAAACCAGACTAAAGGGGCACACCAGCCCAGGGGCAAGGACTAGAAGGCAGGAGTGGACAGGAAAGCTGGTGATCGGGAATTCAACGTTGAGAAGGGAGAGTGATGACATGTCGTGGGGTTGGTAACCAATGTTGCAAAAAATAAGTGGACTAATTGTTTAATGAGAAGCTAGTTTGTTCTGTAAAACTTCACCTAAAGTACAATTAAAAAAAAAATGTGTATATATAAAAAAAAAATGTGGGTGTAATGAGCATAGCTTGACCAAAGTAAATGATGCCACTAAGCAGTACACAAGAGAAAAGGATGTTAGTGCTAAAGAATTGACATACATAATTTGGCAACAACACCAACAATAACCAAAAAATGAGTGTATGGGCACATATATATGTGTATAGGCATATATACATGAGTAGGGGTGTGTACATATGCGTGCACAGATAGAAGTATCTGTAAGTACGTGTACACACAGATGTGTGTGCACACATATATATTAATAGAAGACGGAGTTACAGATACTTCACAGACCAAACCAAACACCTTGTGAGATTGGTTTTCTGGGTTTGAAGGCTTAGGAGCTTAGTCTCATAGAACAACTCAGTCAAAGGGCATAATATAGTTTACAAAATTCATGTTCTGTATCCTAGTGAGATGAGTAGCATCTAGGGTCTTAAAAGCTTGTGAGCAGCCATAAGATACAACTATTGGTCTCTACTTATCAGGAGCAAAAGAGAAAGAAGGAAACCAAAGTCTCAGTGAAGAAACTAGTCTACAGGGCTAATAGCCTACTTAAGCCAAGGGTTCATCTACCCTGAGACCAGAAGAACTAGATGGTGCCTGGCTATCATTACCAACTGTTCTGATCAGGGCCACAATAGATGGACTCTGATAGAATGGGAGAAAAATGCAGAACAGAACTCAAATTCTTACAAAGTCCAGAGTTACTGGATCAGTTGAGACTGAAGGACTCCTTGAGATTATCACCCTGAGATACTCAATAAGCCTTGAACTGAAACTATCCCAAGGTTACCTTTAGCTAAATAACAGATTGGCACACAAAATAAAGGCTATTACCTGTGAGTACAGTGCTCCATCAAAAAAGCATTTACATGAAACCAAAAAGTCAACAGTTACTCTAAAGCAAAAATGAGAAGATAGGGGGGCAGAGAAGCTAGAGCACTGGAAACAGAATAACCAGAATGCAATTAAAGAGAATGTTGATGCATTATTAAAAAAAAAAAAAACCCAAAAACAGCCCTTTGAGTTGTGGTTATTTTCCTCCTTTTAAGATAAAGAATTTGAAACTCATATAGAAGTTAAAAAAATTTCCCAAGATCACACAGAGTCAGAATTCGTGCTGAGGTATGCCAGATTCCAAAGTTGATGCTCTGAATTCTGTCATTCAAATAGAATACAGTTTAGAGTAAAAGGATCAGGTATTAATAATTTTGCTGGGACAATAGAGATAAATTGTAATTATCCTGAAAAATCAGGACTTATTATGACTTTATGAATTCTACTCTCTACTTCCTTACCATTGGATACCAGTTACCAGTTGCATGGAGTCAACTCTGACTCTTGGCGACCCCATGTATGTTAGAGTAGAACTGTGCTCCATAGGGGTTTCAAAAACTGCTTTTTTTGTAAGTAGATCACCAGATCTTTCTTTCAAGGTGCCTCTGGGAGGACTCACACCTTCAACTTTTTGGTTAGCAGATGAGTATGTTAACTGTTTGCATTATTCAAGGACACCCACCATTGGACACAACCCTATAAGTAAATGGAGAGGTTAGGAAAACATCTACTTTGGGGAAAGGAAGATGTGTTCATATTTATATTTGATGAGTTCAGGGATGATCACAGGATAGCCCTTTTGAAATATCCACAAAAGAGTTTGGAAACACAGGAAAGAAGCTTAGAGAATTGAGAGCTCAAGACACATCACGGGGAGCCACCCACATAGAGAGGTTGTTGAAGCCACAAAACAGATAAATTCCTCAAGCATTTAAAGAAGTAGCAGAAATGCTGAAAGTTAAGAACTAAACTGTGGGAAATGTGAAATGTGAAGGCAGGGAAATGAGAAGAGAATGTATGGGAGATGCCTATATTAGACGGAAAGCCCTTTTCTGGCACGAACCATGTCTTTTGTATCCCTGTAGCTCACTTATTAATATGCCAAATATACTTATGAAAATCAACTATAATGCAGACCCCTGTGATTCCTGAACAATGAATTTTATTTACTTTCTCAGGAGCTAATGGAGCCTATTTTACATGAAAGCTTTCAGCTACCATCTTTTCTCTCTAGCCTCATTTGTGCTTCTTATTGGAGCTGGGAATCCTATGATGTGTAGTGATGAGCAGTACACTTGGGGTCATCCTTGTGCAACTCAACGATCTACCTGGAGTTTGAGAGCTAATGCACATGCATGAGACATACATGCAAAGACATTTTATTGTATGTGTATCTTCAATGCTGTGTATTTTACATGTAACGGTAAATGTATAACATATAGTTTACATTAAAAATAAAAGAAGGAGGCCATTTTTGAACGATTCAAATTTTGGGAAGATAACAGGCTGCACAAGTAGAAAAGGTCAAAACAGATTTTTTGTTTTTTCTCTTCTTGTACTGGACCAAGTTATCAGGGAAGAAGGCTTTACAGAAGCCCTGGTTAAGATGCATTTGAAAGGAAGTTGCCATGGCAACTTTCTCTGAAGCAACAGACAAGATCTCCTTAGAGATCCTGGAGAACCACCAATGTCTTCTTTGCCTTTGGGTCTCAAGGAGAGCTTGCCTTACATGGCTTATTTTAATTTTGTAAAAATGAAGTTTTTTTCCCCCCCATTTGTAACTTTTGTGCAGTGGGGTTGAGAATAGGGGATTGGAATTCATTAGAGTCAACCTGGTACATGGAAAATTCCAAGTGTAAATCTGCAGATGAAGCACCATTATTGCTGAGATGTAGCTAGATGTATCCCAAAGAGGAGGGTGAGAAAGTCCTTAATAATGTAACATACACAGGCCTCTGTGAAGTGGTTTTAGTTGACTTGCCTGGAAAAAGACGGACTTTGGCCTTTGTGTTATGATTTTGTAACTTCTCTAAGAGGATTTCTGCCATTACCCAGGACCAAAAATATATCTGACCATTGGCACACCAAAGCTTGCGTTTCTACAGAGATTCATGTCTTGGCTAGGAAATCTGTGATTCTTAATATGTAAAAAACCCCAGTAACAGATGTAGTGTGCAAGTTGCCACACAAAACTTTATTAGTTCTTATACGAATGAGATGCCTTCCTGAGAACTGTTTTGACTGTGTGTGCAGTTTAGAGTAGCTAGGACTGAGATCTGGAGACTAAATTGGGTAAAGTCAGTCACCTACATTAAGCACCTTATGATTACTGGAAAAGCTCAGCAAGGTCCCTTTCCACTATGGAGCTTGGAGTTGAACAGACCAGGGTTTGACCTAGATTCTGGAGCTTATTAATTGTGTACTTTCCTCACTTTTAAAATGGAGATTAATAAGTTCAATTTAGAAGGTTGTTGGAAGAAATAAATGAGGTAAAATTTGCACGTTGCTGTTGAATCCTTAGTGTCAGTATGAGGGAGCTGTGTCAGATACAGGGTTTGGTAAGTGCTCAATCCCTGGTAGCAAGAATTGTCTTTTTCCCCTACAATGCTTTGCTCTTAACTGTCCTGAAAAGATATAGCCTGAATGAAAGAATAGGTCCCTAAAGCCAAGTCAGACATTATCAAGAATTAAACAAACATTTCTTCTTCCTTAGGGCAGGTGGTATCTGGGGGCAGTGATCACAAGGGAGCCTCTGTAATGAGTCTCTGAGATTTCTAATCCAGAATAAAATTCTTCAACCCCCTGTTATGCATGGGTGTTAGGGAAGGGTACAGTCTCATCACTGGAAGCTGGACAGGAGCTTTGGGACAAAGCCACAAACAGACATCATGTTGTTCAGCTCAGAAAGAGAGCCAAGATAAACCTGAGGTTTGGATCCTCAAAATAGAACCAGGAGCAGAGCTGTCTGAGCTCACAGCTGTCACCTTCTGTTCACCAGGGCATTTGAATCTCCCTAAAAGAGATGGATGAAAGCTGGTAGAGTACAGCACTTTAGCTTCCAGCTGAAGGAAGGTGAGTGCCTTCCTGCCTGATCTGTCCGTAGCAGACTGGTTAAGAGCTCAAACCATGGGAGCCAGACCTCCTGAGTTCACCTCTTAATCTAACTTAGCAGCATTGAGATTTTGTGAAAATTTCTTAGGTTTATTATCCTCATCTGTAAACCGGGGATAATCACAACACCACATAGCATGTAGAGCAGTACCTATCCCATAGTTAATTCTCAGTAAATGTTTTCTTTTCTTTTCCTTCTTTTTTCTCTTCCCTTCCTTCACTTCCCTTTTCTTTTCTTTGGTTTCTTTTTTATTTAACATCCATTATTATTAACCCCACAGGCCCTTGAGCTAAGGGCTGTGAGCCACTTAAGTTAAGCACAATCTCATCTTTCTACTTTGGCCAGTAATGACCTTAAGATGGAAGGTATGGGCAGGTCAAATGGCTTCCACCCCTCTAGAATCACTCCAGAGAAGGACCTTAGGCTTTATAAACTTGAGCAAGATTTAGAGAGGATAGGAAGAACACAGAAGAGGGCCACATAAAGGTTGGAAGGTCATCCCAGCTCACCTTTGAGGCTCCTCTTCTCAGTCATACTAGCCTCCACACCGGAGGCAAAATTCACCCTCAGTTACTCGGATAGTTAAGGGCACTTGAGGACCAAGAAGACAGATAAACACAGGTACAAGGAAATGCTTTCCTCTGGAAGTTCAAAATCTAATTGTTCAGATGCCAATCTCAAAAATGGGGGATTGTGTGGTGAATGGTGGTTTGGGTGTGTTTCTCTCTCTTTCTCTGAGTGGCTCTTTTCTTTTTCCCTCACAGACTCTCCAAGAGGAGAATGGCTACTGAGAAAGCCTCCTTTGTGACAGAGTTTATCCTCGCAGGTTTAACAGACCATCCAGGACTCCAGATGCCCCTTTTCTTTCTGTTTCTAGGTTTCTATGTGGTCACTGTGGTGGGGGACCTGGGCTTGATTACTCTGATTGGATTGAATTCTCACCTTCATATTCCCATGTACTTTTTCCTCTTCAACTCGTCCTTTATATATTTTAGTTTCTGTACTACAATCATCCCCAAAATGCTGATGAATTTTGTCTCAAAGAAGAACATCATCTCCTATGTAGGGTGTATAACTCAGTTTTTTTTCTTCTGTTTCTTTATCTTTTCTGAATCCTTCATCCTGTTAGCGATGGCATATGACCACTATGTCGCCATATGTAAACGACTGGTGTGCACGGTCACCAGGTCTCCCCAGGTCTGTTTATTCCTTTTGTTAGGTGTCTATGGGATGGGGATTTTTGGCGCCATGGCCCATGCAGGAAATATAATGTTTCTGACCTTCTGTGCCAACAACCTTGTCAATCACTATATGTGTGACATCGTTCCCCTCCTTGAGCTCTCTTGCAACAGCTCTTACATAAATTTGCTGATGGTCTTTATTGTTGTGACTATTGGCATTGGCATGCCCATTACCACAATTTTTATCTCTTATGGTTTCATTCTTTCCAGTGTTCTCCACATTAGCTCCACAGAGGGAAGGTCCAAAGCCTTCAGTACCTGCAGCTCCCACATAATTGCAGTTTCTCTTTTTTTTGGGTCAGGAGCTTTTATGTACCTCAAACCACCTTCTATTTTACCCCTTGATCAGGGGAAAGTTTCTTCCTTATTCTATATGATTGTTGTACCCATGTTCAATCCATTCATCTATAGCCTGAGGAATAAGGATGTCAAGTTTGCCCTGAAGAAAACCTTGGGCAGAATAAACTTTTCTTGAAAAAATCTTAGCAATCAAGAAAGGGGATCAAAGGATCCAGTGCCCCATATAAAACATCATCCTCTGAGACTTCAAAATATTTATATGTTGTGCAAGAGCATAAAAAACAAAAACAAAAACAAAAACCAAAAAACTACCCGGTGCCAGAGCTGAGACTGGAATCAGGGCTTTTGAATCCTAATCCACTTCTTTCTTCCCTCTTTATGCCAAGCTTTCACGGAAGATTTTGTTTCAAATGTTAGTTGATCTAGCACATTTAAATTAGGAATATATTCACAGCAATTTCATGTAACTTTTCAAAGATAATTTTAATATGTCACATTTTGCAAGAAAGTAGGAGGTGAAAAATTTGGTTACGTTTGTCTTGGCAAAATGACAAGAGAAGTGTATGATGAATTTTGTAGTGTGTGAGTGTGAAGTATGTTATGTTTCATGTAGAAGCAAGCATTGTGCCCACTGACTTGGTGTGTAAAGCCCTAGGAGCACAGTTTAGTGAATAGAACTTTCAGGGGAGAGACGTATAATTTTAATGGATGTAAAGATGCTGGGTGGAAGTGTCAAATTATTTCAAGACTAAAAGAGACAGAATTTGGAGTCACATTTCAAGGGTTAGAGGTCTGATGAAGAAGTCTGTGGTTCTAGATAATTCGCAGCTGCCTTATCCAATATGGTAGTCACTAGCCATGTATGGCTATTGAGCACTTGACATGTGGTCATCCAAACTGAGATACACTGCAATGGTAAAATGTAAGTGTAAAATACACACTGGGTTTTTGAAGAATTAATATAAAAATAATGTAAAATATCTCATTAACAATTTTTTATGTTGACTACATGTTGAAATGATAATGGTTTGGATATATGATGTTAAATAAAATACATTATGAAAATTGATTTACCTGTTTAGTTTTAGTTTTTTAATGCATCTACTAGAAAATTTAAAATGACATACATGACTCACACTATGTTTCTATTGGATGGCACTGGTGTAGAGGATGTAACAGATCAATTGATAGTTTTGGGCACATTTATTTATTAGGGCAGCATCAAGCAGCTGTTTATTAAGCGAGGCAATTGCCACTGACTTTTCAGGTATTGCAGACAGCCGTGATATTCTAACAAGGGGGCATATGGAGAAGAGATGGAAATCTCAGTAGGTTCATAAATCCACAATATCATCAAAGGGAGGTTTAGCTTTATATAAAGACCTCTGGTGGCACAGTGGTTAAGCACTCGGCTGCTAACCAAAAGGTTGGCAATTGGAACCCACGAACATCTCTGAGGGAGAAAAGACCTGGTGATTTGCTCCCATAAAGCTTTCAGCCTAGGAAACCCTATGGGGCAGTTCTGCTATGTGCTGTGAGGTTGCTATGAGTTGGAATTGACTTGACGCCACACAACAATTTTATATAAAGAATCAGAAGAACAACATTAAGCCATGAAAAGTGGAAGGCTAAGAAAAATTTTGACTTAGGAAAATTATTCCTTAGGAAAGCTCTTTTCTATTGGGAAAAAATTGAAGTTTGGATAAATGTCTAGTTTTGCCCTTTGGGATGAATCTTTTCAATGATCATCATCATTTTTTCAATAAAATACGTAAGGGGAGGATAGAGAAGATTGGATAAGTCACATAATTCATGTGGCGCAGACTTGGGAATGGAGTGGGGGTGGTGGGTATGCAGTACAATGTATATCATGTAATAAAACAGAAACCCTTCTTTTAAAAATTTGTGGTCAAATTAACATACAGCCAAGTGCACAAATCTGAAGCGTATAGTTCATTGAATTTTTTCTTGTATGCATGCCTGTGTAATGACAACGTAGATAAGGATATAGAACATTTCTATCCACTTTAGAACGTTTCCTCTTGCTTCTTCCCGGTAAATATAACCTGCCCTCAACCTCCCACCCCCAGAGCTATCCACTCTTCTGAGTTTTATTATCATAGGTTAGTTTTATCTGTTCTTGAACTTCGTATAAACATGTACTTTATTGTCTCTGACTTCTTTCTTCAACATAAAGCTTATTATTCTTATCCATATTGTTGCATGTATCAGTAGATTATTTTTATTGCTGTGTAGTATTCCATTATATGAATATAGAATAATTACTTATCCTCTTGAATATTAGGAGAGCTTCAAGTTTTTTGCCTGTTATTAGTAAAGCTTCTGTTATGTATAGAACTGTGTCCTCCTCAAAAGATATGTTGAGTCCTAACCCCTGTACCTATAAATGTGACCTCATTTGGGTCAATAAGGTTTTTCTTTGAAAATGTTATTAGTTAAGTTAATGAGGCCATACCAGATTAGGGAGGGTCCTAATCCCTTCTGAGTGATGTCTTATAATAGCGGAGAGCAGACGCGGATACAGTCACACAGGGGAAGACACTACGTGAGGATCCATCTATAAGCCAAGGAATACCAAAAAGTGCTGGGGCTACCAGAAGCTGAACAAGAAAAGGAAGGACCTTCTCCTAGAGCTTATAGAGAGAACGTAACCCTATTGACAGCCTGAATTTGAACTTCTAGCCTCCAGAACTGTGAGAAAATAAATGTCTGTTCTTTAAAGCCACTTACTTTATAATATTTTGTTCTAGCAGCCCTAGGAAGCTAAGACAGCATCTATGAACTTTTATTTAGGTTGAACTACGCAAATACTTCTTTTGGGTATATACCTAGATGTGGATTTGCTGGATAATAGGGTAGGCATATGTTTAGCTTTTATAAATACTGCCAAACTTTTCAAAACGTTTGAGTCAAATTTGCACTGCCATCAATAACTTCTGAGAGTTCAAGTAGCTCTACATCTTGTTTAACATTTGGAATCTTTTTTTAATCCATTCTGGTGTATGAGGTATAATGCATTTTTTGTTTTAATTTTCATTTTCCTGATAAGTAATGATGTTGAGCAGTTTTTATTTGTTTATTGGAGATTTAGATATCTTCTTTTGTGAAGTCCCTGTTCAAGTCTGTTGCCGTTTTAAAAATAGGGTTGTTTGTTTCTTATGGATTGAAAGACTTAAAAAAACTATTCTACATATAAGCCATTTTTCACATATATGTGTATGTGTGCATATATATGTATGTATATATGTATGCATGTGTGTGTATTTCTCCCAGACTTATGACTTGCCTATCTTTATATATATATGTATATAATATATATTTATTGCACTTTAGATGAAGGTTTACAGAACAAATAGTTTCTCATTAAACAGTCAGTACACATACTGTTTTATGATATTGGTTAACAACACCACGACATGTCATCACTCTCCCTTCTCGACCTTGGAGGACCCCTTTTTTTTTTTTTTGGTGAAAATATACACAGCCAAAGTTACACCATTTCAAAAGTTTCTACATGTACAATTCAGTGACACTGATCACATTCTTCCAGTTGTGCTGCTATTCTCACTATCCTTTTCCAAATTATTCCATCACCATTATCTTCAACTCATTGCCCCCTAGGCTTCCCATCAAACCTTTTGAGTTGCTGTTGTCAATTTGATGTCACATAGCTAATTCTTTTTTTTTTTTGTACCTTAGATGAAGGTTTGCAGAACAAATAGTTTCTCATTAAACAGTTAGTATACATATTGCTCTGTGACAATGGTTAACAACCCCACGACATGTCAACACTCTACCTTCTCAACCTTGGGTTCCCTATCACCAACTTTCTTGTCCCCATCTGCCTACTAGTCCTTGTCCCTGGACTGCTGTGTCTCATTAGTCCCATTTTGTTTTATGAGGCTGTCCAATCCCCGGCTGAACAGTGAACTTCGGAAGTGACTTCATCACTGAGATAAAAGGGTGTCTGGGGGCTATACTCTCGGGGTTTCTCCAGTCTGTCAGGCCAGTAAATCTGGTATTTTTTTTGTGAGTTAGAATTTTGTTCTACATCCTTCTCCAGCTCTTACCAGGACCCTCTATTGCAATCCTGGTCAGAGCAGTCAATAGTGGTAGCCAGGCACCATCTAGCTGTACTGGACTCAGTCTGGTGGAGTCCATGATAACTGTGGTCCATTAGTCCTTTGGACGAATCTTTTCTTGTATCCTGTTCTCTTCATTATTCCGTGCTCCCAAAGGGGTGAGACCAGTGGAGTATCTTAGATGGTTACTCACAGGCTTTTAAGACCCTCGAAGCTACTCACCAAGGTAGAATGTAGAACATGGTCTTTATGACTTGCCTATTCTTAATGGTATCTTTTGAGAGCAGATGTTCTTAATTTTAATGAAGTTTGATTTATCAGCTTTTCCTTTTATGGTTATTGATATCTGTGTTTTATTTAAGAGATCTTTTACAACTAAAACAATTCCTGAGGCCAACTCTTTAGACAAAGATTAGACTAGACTGTGGAATATAAAATGATACTAGTGAAGAAGATGCTTCTTAGCTCACGTAGATATATGAGACTAAATGGGCAGCCTGTGTCCAGAGGCGAGATGAGAAGGCAGAGTGGGTCAGGAGCTGGTTGAATGGACACAGGAAATCGGGGTGGAAAGGAGGAGTGTGCAGTCACAGTATAGGGAGAGCAACTAGGGTCACATAACAATGTGTGTATAAATTTTTGTATGAGAAACAAACTTGAATTGTAAACTTTCACTTGAAGCACACACACACACACAAAGAGATCTTTTACTATTCTTTCTGACACCAGGAGAAGAGCAATGTGAAGGCATGTAAGTGAGAGAGAAGACATAGAGAGGAAGCAACATAGAAAACCCACAGCAGCCTTGGCTCTGGTAATGTTTCAGGTCTCCTGATCTTCTGTCCACACGGTTACATTACCTCTATCTCTATTTAGCTGATGCTTTGTAGGGGCAGAGCACTTAAGGTCTGAAGGTGCAAGGATTATAAGTATTTTCAATTCAGTAAACCTTTATATATTCGCTTATTTATGGATTTTTTTGTTTTCAAAAGAAGTTTAATAAGATATAATTGACCTGCAATAAACTACACATTTAAAGTGTTAATTTCGAGAAGTTTTGACATACGTATGCACTCATGAAACCATCATCACAAATGTGTCCCTTTGAAATTCCTCTCTCTTGCCTCCTTCCATTTCCCCATCCCAGGCAACCTCTGATCTGCTTTCTGTCACTGTCAGTTTTTTTTTTTTCAATAATTTTATATAAATGGAGTCATACAGTGTGTATTTATTTTGTCTGTTTTCTATCATTCAGCATAATTATTCTGAGATTCTTTTGTGCTGTTACATGTATTAATAATTCACTTTC